TTGTAGCCCACCACTTTTTACTCTCAGTTGCATATCGCCGGGCCATGTACAACCCCACGCCGAACCACGTAGTCGACTTTCGACCTGGCATATTCCAACACGTTTTGGTAGCGTTTGATGGCACTCGGTAGATCAACTGGAGCATTGATAGCATCCTCAAGCGTTAACAACGAACTGTTTCTGGCGTCGTGAAGCAGTCCCCTTACCCAGGATGTTGGAGCAGCGTTTGCGTCTGCGCGCAACAAAGAAGCACACGTGCGTTCTAATCGAGTCGTTTAACCTGATTACCCCGGCGCGAAAGTGAACCCTCTCGGCGTGTCCAGCATGAACATTTTTCAACCGTCTGCGGTTGACTGCTCCACTTTCTGGACTGTGAAAGCAACACCACCTTTAAAGTTCATACGGTCATCCCTCCATTCATTACTTGACAAAGCAAAGTCCTGGCGTAGTACATCTCGTTTCAGTAAATCATCACTGACTTCTTTCACTGGTCGCGCCCCATCATATGGAATACCCAACCCATGGTTCGGCCCTGACAAAGCGCCAATCCGTCTTCGGGTTTAGTTGAATTCATTGCAAATCACGTTAAGTAGGCCGTCTATTGTACTGGTTGTTTACTGCGTCCCATGCTTTGTCCTGTGGGGCGGGGCACTGATCTCTTTGAGGATCGTCTGACCTGGTAGTACCGTGAAACATGAACACAGACTGACTCAGCGGTCCACGCCCGAGTGTTGGTTAATGCCACACCACACCCGTTGTAGCACACCACACGGCAAAGTTGAGTTGATTCTGCCAGAACTGCATAGGGTTGTTGAACCAAAGCGTGGACTGCCTTGGCGTTAGTCACGAAAGCTTATACAAGCTGAACACATCTAAAGCTGGGAGTCGAAATGCACCCCATCAGCGACCCGCGATCTTCATGGGGAAGAAATCTCACGTCCAGTTTAGGGTAAAACACACCAGGGGAGTAAGACACTCCTTGGGAATACATTTTAAAACTATTATATAATGAGCATATATACTCTAACATGTACATAACACTTCCAGGAATAACGGCGTGAGGCAGTTCAGCTGGCCTTTAGCGATCGATATCACGTCCGGTCAACTCGAAAGTCGCACTCTGCGATATCACCTACCTACGCCAATGGACTAACATCAGCGCCAGCAACAATAAGCTGTTCGTTAGTGGAACTCGCAGCCAGATAACTGGCGGCTACTACAGCGTGTGCTTTCGCTAGCGATGAGGTCTTCAAACCCCTGGGAGCCGAACTCAAGATGAGCGACTCAAAGCGGCACAGTGGTGTTAATCAACAACGGAAGAAACTCCTTGAGGCTCGGCCGGCCATTGGCGAAACACTTTCGGTATGTCACCTGGCGAGATAAAACCAACAACAACCGTCACAGTCGAAGTTACCCGACCTAGTACCGTGCGAGCTGTACATTCATCTAGGTCAGGTGAGCACAACGTACAACATTCAAAGGGGTCACCCTTCCACTATACTGAGAGCCGTGCGGTGAAAGCGGAGAAATACAGCGGACGGTAGAACCGAGTCGTTTTCACCGCTGGCAGTATAAGAGGTTGACTCAGGGCAACATACCTGAGCTGATAATATCGGTGTTAGATATAAATCATAATCCCGTGAATATAGGATACCTCAGCTTAACGCTTCACATAAAATGACCAGCGCACAAGGTCCGGGGTGAAAAAATGCATCAATGTCGGGATCTCCGACCTTGGGGACACAGCGGTTTCGGCGGCTCGGAGTAGATGGTAAATTATGCGCCTTGCAACTGAAAAACAACATTTACAAAGCGTTGAAGTCCCCTCCGGTGGAGCTCTAGGTGATATAGTAGATACCACAAGAGCAACAGTCAACACTAAGTACACCCTTGTCAACACCGGTGATGATAACTGGATAATATACCCATCGTTCGGGGCAAACTGTTCGACTTAGGCGATGTTGAGAGCACTACCGTCGCCCGAAACAAGCCATATACACTTTCGTCTTCACGAAGATGACAAGTGGGTGTTGATACCAGATAAAGGCGACTGGTTTCTCAATATTAGGCTCGGCTCCCCTCGTGTTTCACGGATAACAAAGACAACCACCTAAACAAAGTCGTTAACAACGGAACCCTGCTTTCGTGAAACTACGTCCCGACTCAGAGGCGTAGCATAGTCATCAGCCCACTCGCCAGTATGGCAGCCCACATGCTATCGAGTAAACCCGAACATGCAAAGCGTGACATTGCAGTTGGTGTCTGAATTGGCGTGGTCAGGATACTGGAGAGTCTACCGGCAAACTCAACACTGATCATCAAAGTCTACCTAGGGGAACCATCGGCGGGGTGATGTCGAGATCGTGAAGGGGATCAAACTTCGGTGGGTGAAGCGACACCAGTATCAAGTTTGCAAGCGTTTACGTCGCGGGTGGGTGTCGGCTCCAACACCAGTCTGCAGGGTGTCACCGTGATCGTGGAAAACATGATATCACTAACCAAGATCTTCCTACCTGACAACATACACTTCATGGGGGTGAAGTTCACCCTGAACTATTATCAGAAAACCAGTTGGAAATTATATAGTAATAGTATTATAGCAATGTCTTGGCTTCACCCCAACACTACGATTAATGACTTAGGGGACCGCGGAGGGATTCGATCAGCCTGGTGAGGAAGGCTCATACGTCCTACACTTAAAAGACAATGTGTATAGGCGGGCAGCAATGACCGATCATCTACCCAAGCCCACACTTTCGAGGGCCTAGGGGACACGGAGGATTTGATCAACCTGGTGAGGACAACTTATACCTCCTACACTTGAAAGACAACGTGTATAGAAGGGTGCCGTTATCATATTTTAAAGAGCCTGAATGGTTACTCAACTTAACCCTCCCTCACCTTATATCTCATTAGACAAAGATGGTTATGTCTCTGAAATTAAGAACAACGGTACCTTGATCACGTCTTTCATTCCAACTGGAAAGGTGATACTTTCTAACTCCGAATATTTACCTAGGGACACCCTGTTAATTTCACCCAGGCAATCCCAGTTAATAGCCACCCACCATCATAACATAGTAGGGGTTAGGGCTATGGAACCAGGCTCCACACTCATCGTAGAAGTCGCTCACAAGGGTAAGTTTGATTCGGACGAATTTAACCCATCCCCAAACTTGCAGATTTTACCCGGTGTAACAATACGTTGGGGTGACTTAACTGTAGGAAGTGGTTTTACCGTTGCAGATTAGTTATACGATTTGGAAGCTCCCAACAGGGATTACTACCCCAATAATATACTGCTTTGGTGTTGAGATATACCAAAGTTACCTATTGACCCTTCCCTTATCTACACATCACGAGAATCTCAGTTTTATAAACCTCAGATGCGTTGACCGACTACTAAATGAAACCCAATTAAAATATCTTTTGTAATATATATTATAGGATGGGGCTATACCCAGTCGTAGAGGAGTAAGCGAAGACCCTGGAAACCGTGAAGCGGGTTCCGCTTGAGAGACAGTTATGTGATGTGAAGCGTCAACTAGAACAAGACCGCATGACACGCGGAAAGCACTATGTAAAAAGTACCACAGAGCTTTCAATATATCGTGGGCCGGGGCTGACACTACCCTTATGGCAACCAGCATGGGGCTAGGAGCGGCAGGTGTTGGGTTGTTAGCTACCATCGTGGCTGCACCTATAGTACTAGGTATCGAAATAACAGCTGGGGTGACAGGGTGTTAGGGTTACGCTTAAGTTTGCATCGCGCAGACTGCATCGTAAGGCATTGAAACACGATGAGATCAGGGTTCTGGCGAAGCAAAGCTGAACACGGTAAAGTGGCGTATTTCCACGGCACTCACTGACAGTAAGATCTCAGAGGAGGAGTTTAGTTCAATCCTCTCTGAACTCACAAAATATAACAAAATGAAACAAGATATTCGGTCCAAGTCTCGTAAGTCTACTATCAGCGAGGATGAGAAAAAAAAGTACATAGAACAAGGGGTGAAAAAAGCCCGGCAAGCCTTTATTACAAACACCAAGGAGATCATAGGCGATTCACATTAAACTGTTTCGTCGAAGTAAACATGGCATAGTGTCATAGCGGCACGTTAGACGCAGCCCAGTATTGGATGGTGCAATCCCTGGATACCAACACACCCCAGCCATGCCCCCGGTGCGGCTAGGAGGTCCTCCAAACTTTTTCATAGTAGGGGAAATGGTAGCAAGAGCTAAGGGCCCGACCAAAGCCTTACTTGTGAAATAAGGCTTTGCAGAGGCTTTGGTTGAAAGTGGTCCAGAACCCCCATTGTATATACTACTAATATCTTAAAGGTGTCAGTACAAGAAACGAAACCATATTTTCTTTGATAGCTTGCCTGAGCTGATAAACAGCTTTGTACTTTGGACCATGACAAAGTTGGTGTGAAAACCACCCCAAGATATCTATAGTTATTAACAATATCAATCTTTTGGCCTTTAAAGTACTTTGTAGAGGACCACCTCTTCGGAACAACATAATTTTAGTGTTTTTGTACATTGACCATCATACCAGTTCTTTCACAAATTGTTCTAAGATATTAATTTTTCTCTGTAAGTTGATAACAGAGTCAGATACACCTGCTACATCATCAGCAAAGAATAATGCTACAACATTTGGATATTCTTGTGAAACAAATATACCACTGCCTCCTTTCTGCTGTGGTGGCTGTAACTGTGCTGATAGAAATAATGGTTATATGATGGGTCTATATTGATGATCAGGAATACACATTTTTATGGATAACAACTCCTTTTATTCTTTATACATTTCAGAGCTAATTCTTGCTCCTTCATCATGTAAATTCTTCATAAAGAATAAAAAGAAGTTGTTATCCATAAAAAACGTGTCATGTATTCATGTTTGTCCAACTTCAAAGTGCCTTTCAAGAACTTCATTGATGATCAGTTTGAATCTGATGCATCCATACACTCATGTAGAATTGCTTATCTTGCAGGTACCTCTCTCATGTCCGCCCAGCAACAGACATGGAACGTCGCGGAGGCTTTGAAGCCAGGATAGCCTGCCAGAGAGCTCTCCATGATGCTCTTAGTGGACTCTTCTACTTCCCAGAGACTGACTGCAGTTCAGGACTGCAACCTATGGTGACATGAAATATCTAACAGGCAGCTTTCTGAATTGTGCAAGGTGTCAGGAGATGGAAGCTGTCAATGATTCTGAAGTGGCAGATAAACGCTCTCCCTTGTTCAGTAGTATTTGCTGGTTATCAGGATCAAGCAATAGCTGGACAGGTGCACAGTGTTAGCTTGGTCCGTCAAGTACCTGGAGACCATGCTACACCTAGGCATCTTTGACAGACCTCTGACAAAGGACATGTGTCGTAGTTTTTCAAGGATGCATGTAAGGCAAGGCTGTGTGTGTATGTGTTTCCATATAACCTGGAATGAAAACTCATACTTGATTACATCTTGTCCCCACTCACTTATCATGAGTGCATCATTAAAGTAACCCAGTCTATAGGGTTAAAACTGATTCTCACTGCGTCATTAAGATGGCCCTGCCTGTATGGTTGTCATTGTATCATTAATATACACTATGATATCCAATAATAAAGTCTGTCTGTGCAGGCATGTAGTGATCCCATGTTATATAATGTCTGTGCAGGCATGTACCAGTACATAATGTCTGTGCAGGCATGTAGTGATCCTACAGTACATAATGTCTGTTCAGGCATGTAGTAATCCCATAGGACATAATGTCTGTGCAGGCATGTATTGATCCTACAGTACATAATGTCTGTGCAGGCATGTAGTGGTCCCACAGTACATGTCTGTGCCGGCATGTCGTGATCCCATGTTATATAATGTCTGTGCAGGCATGTAGTAATCCCACAGTACATAATGTCTGTGCAGGCATGTAGTGATCCCGTAGTACATAATGTCTGTGCAGGCATGTTGTGATCCCATAGTACATAATGTCTGTGCAGGCATGTAGTAATCCTACAGTACATGTCTGTGTGGGCATGTAGTCATCCCGTAGTACATAATGTCTGTGCAGGCATGTAGTGATCCTACAGTACATAATCCCTGTACAGGCATGTAGTGATCCCACAGTACATTATGCCTGTGCAGGTATGTATTCATCCTACAGTACATAATGTCTGTGCAGGCATGTAGTGATCCCACAGTACATAATGTCTGTGCAGGCATGTAGTGATCCCACAGTACATAATGTCTGTGCAGGCATGTAGTGATCCCACAGTACATAATGTATGTGCAGGCATGTAGTGGTCCTACAGTACATAACGTCTGTGCAGGCATGTAGTGATATCACAGTACATAATGCCTGTGCAGGCATGTATTGATCCTACAGTACATAATGACTGTGCAGGCACGTAGTGATTCCACAGTACATAATGACTGTGCAGGCATATAGTGATCCCATGTTATATAATGTCTGTGCAGGCATATAGTGATCCCATCTTATATAATGCCTGTGCAGGTATGTATTGATCCTACAGTACATAATGTCTGTACAGGCATGTAGTGGTCCCACAGTACATAATGTCTGTGCAGGCATGTAGTGATCCCACAGTACATAATGTCTGTGCAGGCATGTAGTGATCCTACAGTACATAATGTCTGTGCAGGCATGTAGTGATCCCATGTTATATAATGCCTGTGCAGGTATGTATTGATCCCACAGTACATAATGTCTGTCCAGGCATGTAGTTGTCCTACAGTAAATAATGTCTGTGTAGGCATGTAGTGATCCCGTAGTACATAATGCCTGTGCAGGCATGTAGTGATCCCGTAGTACATAATGTCTGTACAGGCATGTAGTAATCCCATAGGCCATAATGTCTGTGCAGGCATGTAGTGATCCTACAGTACATAATGTCTGTGCAGGCATGTAGTGATCCCATGTTATATAATGCCTGTGCAGGTATGTATTGATCCCACAGTACATAATGTCTGTGCAGGCATGTAGTGATCCTACAGTACATAATGTCTCGGCAGGCATGTAGTGATCCCATGTTATATAATGCCTGTGCAGGTATGTATTGATCCCACAGTACATAATGTCTGTCCAGGCATGTAGTGGTCCTACAGTAAATAATGTCTGTGCAGGTATGTAGTGATCCTACAGTACATAATGCCTGTGCAGGCATGTAGTAGTCCTACATTACATAATGCCTGTGCAGGCATGTAGTGATCCCACCGTACATAATGCCTGTGCAGGCATGTAGTGATCCCACAGTACATAATGCCTGTGCAGGTATGTAGTGATCCCACAGCACATAATGCCTGTGCAGGCATGTAATGATCCCACAGTACATAATGTCTGTGCAGGCATGTAGTGGTCCCATGTTATAATATGTCTGTGCAGGCATGTAGTGATCCCGTAGTACATAATGCCTGTGCAGGCATGTAGTGATCCCGTAGTACATAATGTCTGTGCAGGCATGTAGTGGTCCCACAGTACATAATGTCTGTGCAGGCATGTAGTGGTCCCACAGTACATAATGTCTGTGCAGGCATGTAGTGATCCCACAGTACATAATGTCTGTACAGGCATGTAGTGATCCTACAGTACATAACATCTGTGCAGGCATGTAGTGTTCCTATAGTACAAAACGTCTGTGCAGGTATGTAGTGATCCTACAGTACATAACGTCTGTACAGGCATGTAGTGATCCTACAGTACATAACATCTGTGCAGGCATGTAGTGATCCTACAGTACATAACGTCTGTGCAGGTATGTAGTGATCCTACAGTACATAACATCTGTGCAGGCATGTAGTGATCCTACAGTACATAACGTCTGTGCAGGCATGTAGTGATCCTACAGTACATAACATCTGTGCAGGCATGTAGTGATCCTACAGTACATAACGTCTGTGCAGGCATGTAGTGATCCTACAGTACATAACGTCTGTGCAGGCATGTAGTGATCCTACAGTACATAACGTCTGTGCAGGCATGTAGTGATCCTACAGTACATAATGTCTGTACAGGCATGTAGTGATCCCACAGTACATAATGTCTAAATAGAGAAGTCTTATGTGTTGATTCCCAAGTTGAAACTATAAGTTAAATGGACATTAGTCTGTAAAGGAACTCAGTGTGAAATCAAAGAACAACAAAGAAATGTGATTTAATAAACAACTGTATTCTAAAACTTAGAAATCACTACAGAGAACTTACAATGGCAGTACAACATAAAATTGCAGTGCTAACTGAAAGGCAGAATTATTTACACTCTGGTGAGTGGTCAAGCTCAAACAACAGTGGTCAAGCTCCCACAATAGGCCTTGGCACTGTATTCTGTGTGAAAGGTGCTGGTCTTCTTGTAATGTTGGATGTCATGCAAGATGCATATGTATCAAAGTTTCCTGAACTATTGATAACACTGGATCAGACAACAGTGAATATTGGGGAGGGTCGAGAAATGTCCAAACCAGTGTTGTGTATTGTCATACCCAGCACACCACTGCTCTCCACTGAATCTTCACACAAACAATGTCCTACAACACTTTCTACAATATCTACAAACACTGCCACATAACAGAATATTCTGCATGTTTTTCTTGAATTTCATGTTTAAGATGATTTCTATACTTCTGTTCCTGTTGTTAACAAGACGCCTTTACCTCCCTCAACCCATTACATTAGCTGGTAATCAGGTCCTCCAACCACCAGATAACATTTTTACTGGTGTCGCCAAACAGGCTAATTCCGAAACGTGTCATTTACTTATCTATCTATCACATGTCACCTTTTCTCCTGGTAATAAGCGATCGCCTCCGTGGTGTAGTGGTTAGAGCGTCCGCCCGGAGAGCGGAAGGTCGCGGGTTCGATCCCCGACCGCGTCATACCAAAAGTCGTTAAAATATGGTACTTGTTGGTCTCTGCCTGGCGCTCGGCATTAATGGGTACAACAAGGACTGGTCGGCTCGGAGTCAGTATAATGTGTCTGAGTGGGGTATTCATGCTTCACTGTGGCATGGTATCTCAGTGGGCTAGCACTATAAAACCAGCTTAAGTCTGGGCTAGTACAAGCAGCCGCACATACACATACACACGCATGCACGTCGTCATATGAGCGACATATTCTCAAGCACGACCTAAAGCCCAATTTCACCTCACCTCACCTGGTAATAAGCGACCTAAATATACTGTTTTCCACATCTACAACTGTTCAGAGTCAATGAATCCATGTTTTTCTATTAAATTTGTGGATTAGGGCATTACCTTTAGTTTGATATCCCTTGAAGTCGCCAATGAGTTGTGATCTGGAAAAGATTTCCTGTTTAAAACTCAGATGTGTCAACCATATCTGGGAAAATTCTGTTTCTTTGCATTGAAGCAAAGTTTACTTACCGATTTGCTTTCTAGCACAAGAAGCCGCTGTTACAAATTTCTATTTTTCTTATGATCCAACAAATGTTTTACTTTGTGGTTGTGTTGAATATTGATCGAGAAGCAACAATGAAGGCACTGTTTTGGATGATATTTAATCGAAACAGATTCTAGATTACCAAAAAAGAACACCTGTAGTTGTTTCATGGGAGGCGCCATCTTTACTTACGATTCAAATTACGAACTGTTACGTGACAGAAGACATATAAACTTCACAATTCATGTTTGTAAATAAAAAATTGAATTGTTATAGTAGACAGTTTTCGAGAATCATAATATTAATCCCCAATAACAACTCAAGAAAAACTCACCACAACACATTGAAGTCAATCCAAACATCGTGCACCCCACAATAGTGCTAAAACGTGTTTTTCAAGTGCCATTGGTCACGTGATCTTATCATTGCACATGCATTCGATCGCACATGTTCCCATCCACTGTACAAAGTAAAAAACACTTTAAAGCACTATTCAGATCAGTCAATTCTTATGCAGCGCCACTCAAATGTGCAGCGTGAACGTGTCGTTGGCATGCTGGAAGCGGGAACGTCAGTAAGTGACAATTGCAAGGATAATGGGGTGCAGCCGTCGGACTGTTTATGACTCGACTGCAACAAACTGGCACTACTGCTGATCGTGTGACGTCACAGGCGGAAGACCCGTCAAACTGTGTTACGTCACCTCCGTAACCGTTTTTTTTACGGCTACAGGAACCAGAAATGAGCTGTTTAGGGTCACCTTTGTGTTCGACGACCATATCTCGGCACCATTACATCGACGTCAGCGTTTGCTGTGGACCTGACAACACCTCCGCTGGACTCACAGAGACTGGAATCGAGTTGTCTTCCGTGATGAATCAAGATTTACCCTCAGATTCGCTGATGGTAGGATGAGAGTGTGAAGGCGACGCTGTGAACGTTATGCTCAGCGTTGTGTACAGGACGTTGAAAGATTTGGGGGTGGAAGTGTCATTGTTTAGGGTGTTTTCTGTGACCCCCTCCCCCTTTTGAAAATGACCAAGACCACATTGAAGAAATATTTTTCGACCCGAGCTTATTCCATTCATGGCAGCACATAGTCCAGGTCGGCACTTTCAACATGACAATGCCAGACCATATACACTATGATACAGCCACCTTGACCAGGAATTACCTGCAGAACGCAGGAATCAACGGCTGTCAGGTCACCTGATCTCAATCCAATAGAGCACAACTGGGATGCACTTGGTAGTCGTCTGCGGAACAATGGTGCCAACTCCCCAATAATGTGTTTACACGCATTAGAAAGTCCACGAGGAGGCGTTGCTTGGCAGTTGTGAACGCACGGGAGGCCATACATGCTACTGAACGTTTGAAACGTCAGATTTTATTTCTTGTGACACTTGAAACTTTGTTTACGCCTTTTATTGATAAATTCTGTAAACCGTTTTTTTAGCATTGTGATTATTCTCGGTTCATCCTATCGACCGTAACAAATAAATGATAACCTCTATCCCACAATCTTGTGTCATTTCTTTTATATATATAGTTTAATATAGGATTCTGAAGTTTCTAGTTTGACTCAGTATAGATCTTGTTGATGCAAGAGGTTGTGACTGAATGAATAGCTCGTACAATATCTGGTGGCCTATCCACAGTGACAGGTTAAGAAAGCAATATGATGCGACTGTTTCTGTAAAGCTGTCTGTCTATATTAAAGCGACATGAGGGTTAACTTGCAACTTCAAATGCCTTTATCTTGTCCACTTGCCGAGTCGGAAGACGTTATCTGACAACACGACTTTCTGGCACCTTCTAACACTGTTTCTGGATTCGGACAGAGTGCACTTGACATTCGACACATTCCGAACATTCCTGAGTGCAGTGACCTGTTAATTATGGCAGAGAAGAGAAAATTGTGATTAGACTACTATCCTTTTAACCTTTAGATATGAATTACTTTGTGTATGGTGTATTTTACCTCTGTCATGCTTAAGGCTAAAAAAAACCTTTTAAGGACATGAACAGCACTAGATCGGGGAATGTCATTTCCTGATGGCTTGTGTGGCAGGCAGAATAGGAGATCTTGGCCTGTATAGTTGCTAGACAAGGTACGCCAACTTTTCCGTAACATTTTATGCTTTGTAATTTGAATATAGAAAGAAGACAGTATCTAACGATTCATCGAGTTTATTAAATTAAACAGCGTACAAGTAATATATTCATTGTGCACGAACAAGCAACGTTAATTTGTCCGGTATTTGACGACTTAATGACAACAGAAGCATCCATATCATCAACAGACCACAATGTTACATCACTATTACATGTTTCACTCACACACACATACACACAGACATGCTGAGAAGAACGTCAAGTAGCGTACACGTCTTAGTGTTTATGTTTTGCTTATCTGGTATCGTTGTACATAATAGAATTAGCGATACGGCTGTCCTGGTTAAGGTATTGTCAACGCCTGGTATATACGTCTACTAGGGAATTAGCTCATAATTTAGTTACATGACAAACAAATACACAAGACATACATGAGGTGAGCGGAGTTCCTGCTCAACCCCAGGGCGTTTCCAACGAGCAGCATTATCCCGCTCGTGGACGTCCCTACACAGAGAGTCGGAATACCGGACTCGTACTCCTTCACCGTCTAGATGTGAGCATACTAAGTATATATACAGTTTTTGACAACAATGGACAGATAGAAAAAAACAATAGCACTTCCTTGACCAGTTGATGCGATGGCAGAACACGCATGATTACACCGTCATCCACACACAGACCGTGTTCAAGACATTACAACGATAGCTGAAAGTGTAGTCAATATTTGCAAAACACTGACTTGGAAGTCACACAGAGTGTTGTGTTAAACAAATCTGGAACATCCTTCGTCATGTGATCAGCATTTGCCAACAAGATGTGAAGCACGCATTAGTTAACATCGAAGAGAATCTCGGTGTTGCTTAGGAGGCGAGATAAACTAAGTTATTACTCAAACATGCTTCAAGAAATGTTACAAGCCTCGGTCTGTCGTACATGTTACAAGCCTTGGTCTATGTGTTCCATGTTACAAGCCTTGGTCTATGTGTTCCATGTTAAAAGCCTCGGTCTGTCTTCCACGTTACAAGCCTTGGTCTATGTGTTCCATGTTACAAGCCTCGGTCTGTCTTCCACGTTACAAACCTTGGTCTATGTGTTCCATGTTTCAAGCCTTGGTCTATGTGTTCCATGTTACAAGCCTTGGTCTATGTGTTCCATGTTAAAAGCCTTGGTCTATGTGTTCCATGTTACAAGCCTTGGTCTATGTGTTCCATGTTAAAAGCCTTGGTCTATGTGTTCCAAGTTACAAGCCTTGGTCTATGTGTTCCATGTTACAAGCCTTGGTCTATGTGTTCCATGTTACAAGCCTCGGTCTGTCATTCACCTTACAAGCCACTGTCTATATGTCATCCATGTTACAAGCCTCGGTCTGTTATCTTCGTTACACACCTCGGTCTTCATCTATGTTACACGCCTCGATCCGACATCTATGGGTGGGCAGGTGGTCTGAAGCTAAGGGCTAGCTACAGCCAGGTGACAAGGTTGTTGGTCAGCATATGGACCAACTATGTTTACAGGCGTTTCTAGTGTTGTCACTGCCCTAGAACATTCAGAACAATCTACGGAAAATGGACTGATGGTGTAAAGTTTATAGAGACCAAGCATGATTACTGAATTATTTCGATATCAGTTTAGGAAACACATCTACATGTACTACTCATACAAAAAAAGAACATATTTTAAGGTTAACAGGAAGAATGGACACCGTTGGTGTAAGCATATATTGTATCATATCACAGATATTCAAGTATACACAGACTAATGTAGGAACAAAAGGCCAGACAGTCTACTCATGCCACTTTCACTACAATTTCAATACTGAGATTCACTGACGTGATGGTTATACTGAAACGGACAATATAACCATTCCACTTGTTTTAATAAACACACTATACGATGACAGAAACCTATTTTGTCTTGTATTCATTGATGTGTTGAATGATTCTATTCCACACACAATGTAGAATCATCTCTTTCAATGGTGAACATGTTTTTAGTATTACAATCAAGTGCTGTTGTAGGCACGTGAGATGTGCTTCTTGCTGCATCTGTCGCTGACCAACTCAGGGTATAATCTGGTTCCATCTACTCCCCCTCAGCGGGAATTGTTTGTCCCTGGTAACTCTGTGTGGGCTCTGGTTCGTCAACATGTTTGGTGTATTTAGGACCTTTTGATTCATTTGATGATTTCAGACTAACACGCTCAGATTCAATGCCATCACTCTTCAAGTAAAAATGAAAGCCTATATTGAGTTCAGGGATGTCGTAGACGACTGCAAGTAGCAGCATCATCATTATGAGTCCCAGGAGAAGGTAACCTGAAACAACAACGCATGCAATGTAGAACAGACAAAACATGTCACACAGACATGTCACACAGACGCTTGAATAAGAAACATTTATCAGTAATCCCACATACATGTGAGATGCACCTACCTGTCGTTGCAACTTTGTACAGAGCCCTGTAATGTTGTTCCCAGTTATCCCCAGGGATGTAGTCACCCAGGCCGACGGTAGTGAGGGAGATAAAGCAGTAGTAGAAGGCGTCCAAGTAGTTCCAGTCGGGTTCAAGTGCTGTGTAAATACCAGCGGGGACGAGGAAGAAAAAAGTGAAGATAAAGGAGAAGACGATGAGGAGATGGAGGAGTTGGATGTGGAAGACCTTGTAGATGTGGCCCAGCTGCCGGTACAGGAAGTACAGGAACATCTTCGTGGGAAGCATAAGCCGCTCTACCACAGCCGTGAACAGAATCAGTGTCAGTGGGATGCCTATCACAGCGTACACGATACAGAATGCCTTCCCGGTGTCAGAGAGTGGAGTCACTCTACCGTAACCTAAAATATAAGACCCAATCGGCAACTAATTGGCAATGAATTGTTTTGAAAGAACCTCAAAAGATTCCATTTGTAAAAATTCAATTCATTATACCATATAAACATGGACAAAAGTATTGAGGCACGTATGACTTTTTAACCTCCACTTAGCCATTTATATATATAAATATATCATAATGATGTTTGTGTGTTTAATCTTACCTTGCAGGTGCACCATACATTGATCTTAAATATGCACCTGCTACGATCAAAGGCGGGCATCATGTGTAATACGTGTACCCGACATTAAGCAAGTATCAAGTTTCAGTAAACTTACAGCTCAGTAACTTAGAAAATCAATCGATCTCGTTGTTCACGTGTAAATATGGAACCTCCTCTACTGACAGCTGATCAAAGATGGCAAGCTATTGGTATGCAGAAAGCTAGCATGTTATTGAGGGCTATTGTGCACGATATTGTTATCCATGGACTATCAGCTCATTGCCCAGAAAACATGATGAAACTAATGAACAGTGAACAAACAGTGAACAGAGGTCAGTGAGAGTAAAACACAAGGCTTTCGTATATTGTCTCCAAGGCACTTTAGAGCCCTCATGCCCTCGAAAGACGGGGGTCTTACCTATGGTCGTGAGCACCGTCCCAGCAAAGAACATTGACTGGCCGAAGCTCCAGTTGGGTTCTGACATTGACACATTACGAGCGGCCGAAACTCCCCTATTAGCACCCTCAACGACCTCAACAATGAAGGCCTCGAGAGCTTGATCTGAAACAATAAATAAAGGTGTTGAAGCACTGTTGTTGTCATCTACTCATGGTGCAGGTGGTTGATGGTGCCACGCCCTTTTGATAATATCAGAGGGTATATTTCACATGGATTCAGTCTCAGATTTCAAATCATAATAACATCTGAAAAAATGGTTTTAGGATGAGGTAGGTGGTGCAGAGGTGAGTTAAGTGAAGTTTTGATGAGGTAGGTGGTGCTGAGGTGAGTTAAGTGACGTTTTGATGAGGTAGGTGGTGCTGAGGGGAGTTAAGTGACGTTTTGATGAGGTAGGTGGTGCTGAGGGGAGTTAAGTGACGTTTTGATGAGGTAGGTGGTACTGAGGGGAGTTAAGTGACGTTTTGATGAGGTAGGTGGTGCTGAGGGGAGTTAAGTGACGTTTTGATGAGGTAGGTGGTGCTGAGGGGAGTTAAGTGACGTTTTGATGAGGTAGGTGGTGCTGAGGGGAGTTAAGTGACGTTTTTTATGAGGTAGGTGGTGCTGAGGGGAGTTAAGTGACGTTTTGATGAGGTAGGTGGTGCTGAGGGGAGTTAAGTGACGTTTTGATGAGGTAGGTGGTGCTGAGGGGAGTTAAGTGACGTTTTGATGAGGTAGGTGGTGCTGAGGGGAGTTAAGTGACGTTTTGATGAGGTAGAGTGGTGCTGAGGAGGGGAGTTAAGTGACGTTTTGATGAGGTAGGTGGTGCTGAGGGGAGTTAAGTGACGTTTTGATGAGGTAGGTGGTGCTGAGGGGAGTTAAGTGACGTTTTGATGAGGTAGGTGGTGCTGAGGGGAGTTAAGTGACGTTTTGATGAGGTAGGTGGTGCTGAGGGGAGTTAAGTGACGTTTTGATGAGGTAGGTGGTGCTGAGGGGAGTAAAGTGACGTTTTGATGAGGTAGGTGGTGCTGAGGGGAGTTAAGTGACGTTTGATGAGGAGGTAGGTGGTGCTGAGGGAGTTAAAGTGACGTTTTGATGACGTTTTGGTAGGTGGTGCTGAGGGGAGTTAAGTGACGTTTTGATGAGGTAGGTGGTGAGGGAGGTGACGTTTTGATGTAGGTGGTGCTGAGGGGAGTTAAGTGACGTTTTGATGAGGTAGGTGGTGCTGAGGGGAGTTAAGTGACGTTTTGATGAGGTAGGTGGTGCTGAGGGAGTTAAGTGACGTTTTGATGAGGTAGATGGTAGGTGTGACGTTTTGATGAGGTAGGTGGTGCTGAGGGGAGTTAAGTGACGTTTTGATGAGGTAGTAGGTGGTGCTGAGGGGAGTTAAGTGACGTTTTGATGAGAGGTAGGTGGTGCTGAGGGGAGTTAAGTGACGTTTTGATAGTAGGTGGTGCTGAGGTGAGTTAAGTGACGTTTTGATGAGGTAGGTGGTGCTGAGGGGAGTTAAAGTGACGAGTTTGACGTTTTGATGAGGTAGGTGGTGCTGAGGGAGTTAAGTGACGTTTTGATGAGGTAGTTAAAGTGGTGCTGAGGGGAGTTAAGTGACGTTTTGATGAGGTAGATGAGGGAGTAGGTGGTGAGGGAGTTGAAGTGACGTTTTGATGAGGTAGGTGGTGCTGAGGGGAGTTAAGTGACGTTTTGATGAGGTAGGTGGTGCTGAGGGGAGTTAAGTGACGTTTTGATAGAGGTAGGTGGTGCTGAGGGGAGTTAAGTGACGTTTTGATGAGGTAGGTGGTGCTGAGGGGAGTTAAGTGACGTTTTGATGAGGTAGGTGGTGCTGAGGGGAGTTAAGTGACGTTTTGATGAGGTAGGTGGTGCTGAGGGGAGTTAAGTGACGTTTTGATGAGGTAGGTGGTGCTGAGGGGAGTTAAGTGAGTGACGGTGCTGAGGGGAGTTAAGTGACGCTTTTTTAGTGCTGAGAGTTAAGTGACGGATAGAGGTGGTGTGGTGAGGGAGTTAAGTGACGTTTTTTGATAGAGGTAGGTGGTGCTGAGGGGAGTTAAGTGACGTTTTGATGAGGTAGGTGGTGCTGAGGGGAGTTAAGTGACGTTTTGATGAGGTAGGTGGTGCTGAGGGGAGTTAAGTGACGTTTTGATGAGGTAGGTGGTGCTGAGGGAGTTAAGTGACGTTTTTTGATGAGGTAGGTGGTGCTGAGGGGAGTTAAGTGACGTTTTGATGAGGTAGGTGGTGCTGAGGGGAGTTAAGTGACGTTTTGATGAGGTAGGTGGTGACTGAGGTAGGAGTTAAAGTGACGTTTTGATGAGGTAGGTGGTGCTGAGGTGGGGAGTTAAGTGACGTTTGATGAGGTAGGTGGTGCTGAGGGGAGTTAAAGTGACGTTTTGATGAGGTAGGTGGTGCTGAGGGAGTTAAGTGACGTTTTTTGATGAGGTAGGTGGTGCTGAGGGGAGTTAAGTGACGTTTTGATGAGTAGGTAGGTGGTGCTGAGGGAGTTAAGTGACGTTTTGATGAGGTAGGTGGTGCTGAGGGGAGTTAAGTGACGTTTTGATGAGGTAGGTGGTGCTGAGGGAGTTAAGTGACGTTTTGTTTTGATGAGGTAGGTGGTGCTGAGGGGAGTTAAGTGACGTTTTGATGAGGTAGGTGGTGCTGAGGGAGTTAAGTGACGTTTTGATGAGGTAGGTGGTGCTGAGGGGAGTTAAGTGACGTTTTGATGAGGTAGGTGGTGCTGAGGGGAGTTAAGTGACGTTTGGTTGGTTGTGTTTAGTGTTGCATGGCGTGAGGTTTGTGGTGTTTAGTATTGCATGGTGTGAGGTTGGTTGTTTTTAGTGTTGCATGGTGTGAGGTTGGTTGTTTTTAATGTTGCATGGCGTGAGGTTGGTTGTGTTTAGTGCTGCATGGCGTGAGGTTGGTTGTGTTTAGTGTTGCATGGCGTGAAGTTGGTTGTGTTTAGTATTGCATGGCGTGAGGTTGGTTGTGGTTAGTGTTACATGGTGTGAGGTTGGTTGTGGTTAGTGTTGCAGGGCGTGAGGTTGCTTGTGTTTAGTGTTGCATGGCGTGAGGTTGGTTGTGGTTAGTGTTGCAGGGCGTGAGGTTGGTTGTGTTTAGTGTTGCAGGGCGTGAGGTTCGTTGTGTTTAGTGTTGCATGGCGTGAGGTTCGTTGTGTTTAGTGTTGAATGGCGTGAGGTTGGTTGTGGTTAGTGTTGCATGGTGTGAGGTTGGTTGTGTTTAGTGTTGCAGGGCGTGAGGTTGGTTGTGTTTAGTGTTGCAGGGCGTGAGGTTGGTTGTGTTTAGTGTTGCACGGCGTGAGGTTGGTTGTGTTTAATGTTGCACGGCGTGAGGTTTGTGGTGTTTAGTGTTGCATGGCGTGAGGTTGGTTGTGTTTAGTGTTGCACGGCGTGAGGCTGGTTGTGTTTAATATTGCAGGGCTTGAGGTTGGTTGTGTTTAGTGTTGCATGGCGTGAGGTTGGTTGTGTTTAATATTGCATGGTGTGAGGTTCGTTGTGTTTAGTGTTGCATGGCGTGAGGTTGGTTGTGTTTAATATTACATGGTGTGAAGTTGGTTGTGTTTAGTGTTGCATGGTGTGAGGTTGGTTGTGTTTAATATTACATGATGTGAGGTTGGTTGTGTTTAGTGTTGCATGATGTGAGGTTGGTTGTGTTTAGTGTTGCACGGCGTGAGGCTGGTTGTGTTTAGTGTTGCATGGTGTGAGGTTGGTTGTTTTTAATATTGCATGGTGTGAGGTTGGTTGTGTTTAGTGTTGCATGGCGTGAGGTTGGTTGTGTTTAATATTGCATGGTGTGAGGTTGGTTGTGTTTAGTGTTGCATGGTGTGAGGTTGGTTGTGTTTAGTGCTGCATGGTGTGAGGTTGGTTGTGTTTAGTGTTGCATGGCGAAGGTTGGTTGTGTTTAGTATTGCAGGGCTTGAGGTTGGTTGTGTTTAGTGTTGCATGATGTGAGGTTGGTTGTGTTTAGTGTTGCATGGTGTGAGGTTGGTTGTGTTTAGTGTTGCATGGCGTGAGGTTGGTTGTGTTTAGTGTTGCATGGTGTGAGGTTGGTTGTGTTTAGTGTTGCATGGCGTGAGGTTGGCTGTGTTTAGTGTTGCATGGCGTGAGGCTGGTTGTGTTTAGTGTTGCATGATGTGAGGTTGGCTGTGTTTAATATTTCATGGTGTGAGGTTGGTTGTGTTTAGTGTTGCATGGCGTGAGGTTGGTTGTGTTTAGTTTTGCATGGCGTGAGGTTGGTTGTGTTTAATATTGCATGGTGTGAGGTTGGTCGTGTTGAGTGTTGCATGGTGTGAGGTTGGTTGTGTTTAATATTACATGATGTGAGGTTGGTTGTGTTTAGTGTTGCATGGTGTGAGGTTGGTTGTGTTTAGTGCTGCATGGTGTGAGGTTGGTTGTGTTTAGTGTTACATGATGTGAGGTTGGTTGTGTTTAGTGTTGCATGGCGTGAGGTTGGTTGTGTTTAGTGTTGCACGGCGTGAGGCTGGTTGTGTTTAGTGTTGCATGGTGTGAGGTTGGTTGTGTTTAATATTGCATGGTGTGAGGTTGGTTGTGTTTAGTGTTGCATGGCGTGAGGTTGGTTGTGTTTAGTGTTGCATGGCGTGAGGTTGGTTGTGTTTAGTGTTGCATGGTGTGAGGTTGGTTGTGTTTAGTGCTGCATGGTGTGAGGTTGGTTGTGTTTAGTGTTGCATGGCGCAGGTTGGTTGTGTTTAGTATTGCAGGGCTTGAGGTTGGTTGTGTTTAGTGTTGCATGATGTGACGATGGTTGTGTTTAGTGTTGCATGGCGTGAGGTTGGTTGTGCTCAGTGTTGCATGGTGTGAGGTTGGTTGTGTTTAGTGTTGCATGGTGTGAGGTTGGTTGTGTTTAGTGTTGCATGTAAGTGATGCCGTTGTTATGGGGGGAGCTCATGTTGTGAGCCACATCCTTTTTATCACGTTTTCTCGTGATCAGTTCACAACAAATAATGAAAAGAAGAATTACTATCAGTTGACTAAAGGTTAGTGAACTTAGTTTTGATCAAAATAGGAATCAGTGGTTCTCTGAGAGAAACCATGCGCAAATATTTCACACCGATACTAGTCCGTAATAACTGGGTATAGAAA